CCCCACACTCCGCTCGTGGCCCTCCCTCGTCCCTGCCCCCAGCACCTACCTGGGCAGGGTGGCCGAGCGCCCGCCACGTCCGGTTGCGCCGGCGGCAGCCGCGGGGCAGCGAGGGAGGCACGGGCGGGGGCGGCGCAGGCGGGCTGGGCGAACTCGGGCCGCGGCCGCGAACGGCGTCCCGCCGCGCCCACATGCCGGGGTGACTGGCTGGGCGCTGGCTCGCGGCCACACCCGGCAGCCTGGACACTCTCCAGGGCCACTCGCCGGCTTGGCGGAGCCGCCCGGGCAGCTCGGGTCGCCTGCCCGGCGCGCGCCTCCCCTCCTCGCTCGGTTAATGGGAGTCAGGTGTGCAGTCTGTGGCGGCCTGAGGGACATAGTCACATCCGCGGGGGGACCCCGTCCACGCGCCACAGCTCGGGGCTCCCTGCGAGGTGGAGTCCGCGGAGGTGGGCAGGCCCTTCCAGGCTACTCCTCCCGGGCCCTGCGGGCCAAGGCCGCCCACCTCTGCGTCCCCCTCCCGCGTCTCTACAGCTGAACTTTTTCCTTCCTTTTGTTGACATTAAGTAAATTATCAAACTCTGGGGCACTTATCAGCACAGGTGTGGCTCTGCAGGACAAGATAAAGGAGGAGAAAGGCTGCAAAGGTAGAGACGGAATGCAGAGATGGGAAGTTAATGGAAGAAACCTGCGGGAAAGGAATGGCGTGGATCGCAGCAGCGACAGGTTGGGTGGTGTCTGAGGACGCCAGGGAGGAGCCCACAGGCCACAAGCAAGGATGGCTTGGAGGAAATCCGCAGAAGCAGAGTGGAAAGTTTGGAGGGCGTTTTCCGTCGCAGAGGAACATTCAGAGCGAGTGGAGGGAAACAGCCTGCCTTGGGGAACCCCACATTGCAGGTGTTGGGGAGACATATAATAAACAGAGAGCAACTGTAGTCCTCTGAACGCCTGATTTATTCAGAAGCATGACCTTCTGGGTTCAAAAATAAAACATTCTCATACCTCAGCCTCTCCAGATTGCGGAAGAAATGCAAAGTTACAGCAGTTGGGGCAAAGCTCGATCCTCCAGTGGTCACAGCTGTTTAGGAACCGCTCCAGGGATCCGATCAGGGAAGAATTTCTGGCCTCGGGTTTAGTTCCCACTGTTACCTAAATGAATGGCTGTGTGGTGCTTTAGGCTGCAGTGTGATTTGTCCCTGGTCAGCTGCTGTGGCCAGCTCAGAATGAATCCGAGCACTTCATGGGTCGATCAGTTGAAGAACTATTTAATATAAAGGTGGTTCATCAGCCACTCAAAATGCCAAAGGACACTGGTGACTGCCAATGACCTGTCTCCACTTTCAGTCTCTCTGCATGTCCTGACAAGTCCTTCTTCATAACGGCTCTCATTATGCTACTAATCTCTCGCTACCTCAGTTTCCTCCTGTAGATAATGAGTGCCTACGTTAAGTTGTTGTGAAGGTTAAATGAGATAATATGTGTAAAGCGCTTAGAACAATTCCTGGCATGTGGTGAGTGTTCGAACACATTAGCTCACATTTATTTCATACCACATGCTGTACTGTAATTTCAGGTTCTTCCCACCCCACACGTGGACTGTGAGCTTTGCTTACCGTGTTACCTAGACTCCAAGTTATTCCCTGTGATCCCAGCCTCCCGGTATTAACACCCTCGTGTAGCTCCCTCCCATGTTGTACCAGGTTGGTCAGTTTAACCCACAGAAGATGGCAGAAGTGATGGTATGCCACTTCTGAGATTAGGTTAAGAAACATTTTAGAGCTTCTGTCTTGGTCTCTCTCTGTATCTATCTCCCTGTCTCCACTCCTTCCCCACCCCACCTTCCTTGGATCATTCCAGGGGGGTTGTCAGGAGCAACCCCATGGAGAGAAACAGAACTCCTGCCCACAGCCTCGGGAATGAACTTGGAAGCCCCATTCACGCCTTCAGATGATGACAGCATTGGCCTATAGCCTCGCTGCAAATTCATGAGACCTCTCAACTAAGTCACTCTCAAATTCCTGCTCTACAGACATTGAGATAGCACATTTGTGTTGTATTAAGCCACTAAGTTTGGGGTAATTTGTTACACAGCAATAGGTAACTAATACACCTCTTCACTGGCCTTGATTCTAAGGCAGCTTTAGCTAGCTTTCATGGATGGGAAAATTACCTAGATAGCTTATTTCAACAAAGATCCTGGGCCTTACCCCAGAGCTAAGAAATATAATATCTGCAGGGCCCAGGCATCTGCATTTTGAACAAGGATTCCAGGTGATCAAGTCAGGGATGGGGTTATAGACCAGGCTTTCAGAAACTCTGCTCCAGCCTCTCCAGATCAGATATTTCTGAATGTAGTTGCCAAATTAATCTTTTTCCAGCCTGGGCAACATAGCAAGACCGCATCTACTGAGGGGAGGCACATGGGAGGACTCTGGATAGGGGCTGGCCACTGGTGAATCAGAGACATGGAAGATGGGTGTCCCTGCACATGTATTCAGCAGTGTTCTGCTGCTCATTTGCTGCCAGTGCCCAGAGAAGCTAAATATCTATTTACTATGTACTAAAACCTGTGATGTATTGTTTATTTGCAGTAATGGATACCATGAATCAAATAGCCTACATTTTAATGGACATATTCTCTGACATTCCATTTAGAATGTTGCTTAGTAATCCTGCTGCCCGGGGTTCTTGAGGATATCACATTTGTACAACTATAGGGGTACCAGGCACAGAGAACACTGTGTGTACGGCACCCCCTGGAGTTGTGTGACATGGCAGCCCTATTGCTGCCAGAAAGACGGGAGAAACCACTTTTCACTTTTTCTAAGTTAAAGGTCAATTTATGTTTAAGTTCTATAGAAAGTGAAAATTAGCTTCAGATGTTTTCTTTATAAAAGAAAATATTAACAGGATAAGTACTGATAATATTTTTCTTGTCATATTTCATTATCAGCAACAGAAACCCCAACCACTTTTTTAACTCTTAGAGAAGTTAAGTTATACTTTTGTTCCACAGTGGATGTGA